AAAAAAAAAAAAAAAAGACAAAAGGCCCAAAATGGAGTCACTCACGCTAAGTCCCCTATCAGGAAACAGAGACTTAATTACAGTTTCAGTTCTCCCAGAAATAGAATCTTAAACCAGTCAATCAGGAGTCACCTGATCAGCATTAGTTGAGTAACTACCTGACAAACAGGGAAAGTAACCTTGCAATAATCCATCTGCTTTTTGGCCCAGTATAACTTCCTTGTTCCTGCCCCCTACTGCCTATAAAATCTCTTGGCTTGCATAGCTTTTCAGAGCTCTTTTTCTATCTGCTAGATGGGATACTGCCCAGTTCATGAATCACTGAATAAAACCAATAAGAACTGCAAATTTTACTCAGATTTTGTCCTTTAACATTTGTCACCCCTCCAACTTTCACTCTTCACTTCTTTTTAAAGATTGCACATACAATGCCAGGATGGTGGGGTCCTCTGTTGTCACCCAAAGAGGGCCCACCTGGACAGTGCCCTGCTCACCAGGAGCTCCTTGCTCTCCTTCTCCTCCGTGGAACGAAACACCTCATAGTCTTCCAGATCCTTCCTCAAGACCTTCAGCCTAGACTCCAGGAGCTCCTGCAGGAGGGTGAGAAGGGAGACATTATGGGAAGAGGACTCTGGAAACCCTACATGTGCCTTCCCGGAGCCATCCAGGAGAAAGACAAGGCCTTATTAATTGAAGAGGAGGAGGCAAGGTTGAAGACCTGTCTGGACATCGGGATAGCTGACAGCCTGCACAGACGCACATAGGGGTACGGGGCAATTGAAAGGTGACTCCAAAGACCTCAAGGTCTCACTTCCCCAACCATCTGTGCACAATCCTGGCTGAAATGCAGGCCCTTTGGCAGCCCAACCTGCCTAGTTTTGTCCTCTGATCTCTTAATCACCATCAGAAAGACGTCTGGGAGGGAGTGCTGGAGCGGATTAAGGAGGAAAGAAAAACTGGGGGCTCTGTGCCTGAAGCCTCCGTGCACACCCCAGTAAGGAAGTGGGAAAGAGAAGTGCCTCAAACCCATATCTTTGACACAACCAAAGACAGCTTTTGGTGCTCTATTCAACCCAGAAGTCACCCACTGCCTTACCCCAACCTTTTTGGAAGGTCGTCCCACTCCAGGACGCGGAGACATTGCACAGAGCCACGCCCAGGGAAAGGGCGGGGGCTGAGAATGGGGGCAGAGGAAGTGGGGGTGTGACGGAGACACCGCTAGAAGCCAAGGACAGACAGAAAGAAAATCGCGAAGTCTGGGGGCATCAACTAGGCGATCCAGTAGGGAGCCCAGAGGGAAGCTCGAGGTGGGTGGGAGGATGGTACTGGTTGTGTGTGGGTGACCCAGCGAGTGCTGCAATCAGTCCCAGAGCCAGTGGAACAGGAAGAAAGAGGCAGGGTCTCACCTGGGTATCCTGCCTGCCTGCCTGCCAGAGGTCTGCACTGTCTGCGCGGGAAGACAGGACCCGAACTGGGGTCCTGAGGCTCTGCATGGGTGGGGCCCGCCCTCACCTTAGCTTCCTGCACAGCCTCGTCTAGCGGCAACACTGCGTGCGCGCGGTGTTCGCGGGCGCGGTCGCACACCACGCAAATGGCGCGTCCGTCGTCCTGGCAGTAGAGCTTGAGCGGTTCACCATGCTGTACGCACCCGGCAACCGCCGCCTCCGGGGGCCGGTGTTCTCCTGGCGCGGCCGCAGGCAGGCTGAAGCGCCGCAACAGCGTGGCCACTGAGGCCAGCTGCCTGTTGGGCCGCAGCTGGCCGGGACGCACGGGCTCTCTACACTGTGGGCAGGGCAGCGGACAAGGCAGCGCGCGCGGCACTGTGGTCGTTCCTGTGCCGGGGCGCTCCCAACAGCGCGCGATACAGGAGCGGCAGAAGCTGTGACCGCAGTCGACGGATACGGGCTCGCGGAAGAGCTCCAGGCAGATAGAGCATGTGGCCTCGCCCTGCAGCTCTGCCGCCAGTGCCAGCGCCTCGGCCCCGGAGCCGGGGCCAGTCCGCGGCCCCACCGCCGCCATGCGCTTCCTTAGCGCACTTAATTCCAGCAGTGCTGGAGAAGCCGAGGGACCCGACAGTTCGCGGCGCGGAGTGGGGAGGCCCAGTAGGGGCCTCCGAGCACCCACTAGGAGAGGAAGGGCGGGGCTGACGCCGGGCAGGCGGAGACGTAAACTGAGGGCTGGCCGGGCCGGGAAGCGGAGAGAATGAGAGTTGTGGGCGGGCCAGACCGCACTGCTCGACTGGATCCAAGCGCCGGCCAGCTCCCTGCACCTCTGCTCTGGGCCACTCAATCACTGGCTTTGGTCTGCGGCCTCCTCGGTCCCCTGGCGCCCTCTCTCTGTCGCCCCCCCCCAGCCCAGCCCGTCAGCAGTCCTCTCTAAGCCACCCACAGCCTGGCCCAGGCAGCCGTGGGAAACAGGCCCGGACAGGTGGGAGCCCACACCCAGCCGGGCACAACTCGTCGTGGCCGCCTGAGGCCAACCCAGCAGGGCCAGGCCTTGGGCCTAGCGCCCGGGCCACAGTGTCAGGTTCCCAGAGTGCAGGTTTGTCCTGGTCCTGTGCTGACCTAAATTTAGTGTCTGGAACCTGGCTCTTGCCCCCACCCCCAAGCCTGGCATAGTATCTATTTCCCACTGTTGTTCTCCCCCTTGTTTATTCTTTATTTAATTTTTGGCTTTGAATAAATAATACATTTACAATGAATTTTCCCACTGTAATCTCCCTCCCAAATAATTCAACCCTCTACTGTCCCTCCAGAACTACCTGATGTATTTGTTTCCACCCCCTTTCCTCATTCCCTCTGGAGGCCACTCAGGGCAGGCTTTAGCGACCACCCTCCTCAGAAACCACTCTTGTCAAGGTCACCAGTAACCTCAGCAATCCTAACCTAAAGGCATAGGCTCCTTCTCCGGCCTCACCTCATCTGCCCTTTTCTCTGATGCTTCCTCCTTGCTGACACTCTTTCCTGGCGCCTTCCAGGTTACTGTACTCCCTGGCTCTCCACCCACATCCCTGGCCTCCTACCTTTTTCTTGGTCTCTCTTGTGGTTTCCTCCTCCTCTCCCCGCACTTGCTCAGCCCTTGGACCTCCGTCTATCCTCACTTGTGATCTCTTCCATTTTCTTGGTTTGAAATACTCTCTCCTTGTGGATGCCACAATACACATCCCCACCCAGGTTCCCTTAGGATGCCTGGCTCCCACATCCATCCCCAGGCAGCATGTCCTAAGGAATATCACTCCGCACTCACTGTATCCACAACTGTATT